TAACTCTCCTCACCAGAACCCAACCGTATATCATTACTATATATACACATTAATACATGTATATACTTGATACATTTAAAAGAAATCTTTAAATTAGATTGAATCCGGTCAAGGTTCTAAATGGCGTAGACTTGACTYGTCATGAGGCCATGGCATATGCCACAGACGCAACATGATGATTGTTACGACAAATATTTTTTATAACACTAAATCCAATTCATGGCTTAACGGCCGTTTGCCTAACGTTTACCGCTATAAGYGYTTACGGGYAAAATTTAGTACTATTACATACTCATCGGGTAAGATTTTAATCYAACGAAATRGTATCTTATGCAACAATTTACCYYGTAAACACTAACCATAGTAARAGTCGTYGCCCTCACTTACCGGGTAAGACTYTCGCCYCTTATCTTAGCTTTACCGGATAAGATTCTTGATCAATATGACCTGATAAACACTTATCACAGTCAAAACTGCAAAAATAAAATAAAAAAATTAATTATAAAAATAGTAAAAACGGGAAAGAAAAATATGATGTGGTAAAAAGGTAGAAAAATATGAACTCAAARACATAAAGTGATTTGTTTGATAATGAAAAGCAATGACTTGTACGTTATGCATTAAAAGCTGTACATGAGAATGCCTATAAATTAGCAAAGGGAGGCGAACGGTTTCAGTTCCCCTTCCCTCCTTTCACGTGTTCTCCTCTTTTCCTTTTCTGTTGCAGATTTTCCTCTGCTTGCTTTTGGAACGTAATGGAAGGCAAAAATCAAACCTCTTCTTCATCGTCTTCATTTACTGCTCAACTTTTTGGATCAAAGGAATCATGTGCAGCAGCTCCGTCTTCTGGTCTTTTCARTTCTATCTTCCCACCTCCTTCCAAGGTATGATTCCAATTTTTTTATTTTTGTGAGGATTCTGCTTTGATTTCTCGATGAATTGCTCTTGATCTGTGTTTTAGCTTGTAAAAACTCTGTTTCCTGAGCATGAAGTTTTAGTATAATCGATCGAAGATATTTCTTCTAATTTGTGTAGTGATCAATTGCAGAAGCAACTTCTATTGTTTTTATGTTGAATTCAGTGAAAACGAAAGATCAGAAGCTAATATTATGTMAAATTTATGAATATATACAGAGTTACAATTTGAATCTGAGAAGTAATAGATTAATAATCTTCTAAATTAAAACCTGGATTTTGTTTGAGAAATAACCTATAAGTTTTTGGATTCGTTCGTTGAAAGTATACCAGGTGTTGGAAGAAATGTCTTGAAAAACTGAAAAAGCTTTTACACTATTCCGAGATGGTTTGCTTAATTTGACACWTGTTCAAGGATTTTTGGTCATAAAAATGTTTTAACTATTTCTAAATATTGATTATTGGTAAAGAAACATCTAACGATTATTATACAAAATGGATCAATAGAATTGTGTGATTATTATGTCGTAATGAATTGATAAAAAGTAAAATAATGCTATTTACACCTCTTTTATGTTAGAATTAAATTAATTCATGAATTTAGTCTATCTTACRATCAAAATGATTTGATAATCATGGGATTGAAATAATTTAATCCAAATACGTTTGCTAGCTTATATGTAGATGTTATCATCGATAGATGTTTATAAAAAAAAAATGCAAAATAAGAAAAAACTTTATCAACAAAATGAACTTGTCAATATTATAAAATAATCATTGATAAAATAAGTGCATTAAAAAGTCTACTAATAAATAATCATTGATTTTTTAAAGAGAACAAAAAGCAGTTGCAGTCTTGTTTGTTGGAGTAGTACATGCCATTGTGAATTTGTGTTGGAATTGTAGGTAGCTTTTTCTTTTSCAACTTCCAAATGAAAATCTGGTTTTATAATTGGTAGGTATGGTTTAGGTTACGTTTTTAAATTGGTCATATGACTAAACAATTAAGTGTTTAAATAAGAGATAAGTTAAATTAATTGTACATTTATTTTAATAATATTTTTTTATGCAGGCTCTTTTCTTGAATTTTCAAATTTGATTACTTCTGAATTCTGATTATGTGATTCAAGTCATAAAAATCAGTTTAAAAATACCATCAATTAAACACCACCTTATTAAACAAGACAAACAATTAAAGCATTTATAATTTTTCAAAWAATAACCTCTTACACGACTTTATTCTTTTGTCAAATAAAAAGTAATAATCAYTGTGAAAATTGGAATAGAAAATACTGAAACTTGTATTTTGTGTTTTTTTTCCAGCCTCATGGAAAGGACTATATTAGCTCTGAATTGACCGGGAAGAACCATGGTGTTGCAGTCAAACAAGGTTCGATGACACTTTTATATGAACCTCTTACTCAAAGTAGCATTTTTGAAAATTTGAGTTTATATGAACCTTTTGACAGATTAGGCAACATTTTGCTCTATTTGTAGTATTTAAATAAACTATTTCTTTAACAACCATATAAGTATATAAACTTAAGAAGTATGTGTATACCAAATGCTTACCGGGTGAATATGACAAGAATTAAAAATCTTACCCGATAAATGAATGTRAAGATTACTCTTACCGGGTTAACGCTTATCGGATAAGACGCTCAGAAGCACTTACTACCAACAATYTATTTTGATGACCAARAATGTTATTTGATAAGGTAAGTGGGGTTGATGACTTTTTCGGTAAGCACTTTGATTAACCACAARGGTGGTGCCTGATTGGTTTGAGCTTGRCTCCAAAGGTCAAAAGTACCAGGAGGTCCCAAGTTCAAATCCAAGGAGGAATAAAAATCCCCTTGTGACCACGGAGGTTCAAATGTGGTGACTCCGGCTTATCTGCAAAGCAGGTGGTCGTCCTAGGATTAGTCGGCTCGCATAGCGGGTTGGATATCCATCTAGGTTAATAAAAAAAAGAGGCTATTTTATCATAAAGAATCTGAATTTTATAAATAATTAATGTATTAATATGATTACAAAAACTATTATTAAAATAGATAATTATTTYGAATAGTTATCAAGGGTAGTAAGTTTAGTACTGGAATACATTTCTAGTGATTTTTATACCATTTGATTTGTCTCTTTTTAGCTAAGTTATCCGTTACTTTACCTATTAGATTTGTTAGAGATAAAAACTTAACCAAAACTAGCTCAWAAGTTAAAATAATAACCCAAATAGGTCTGTGTTTACACCTATTCGTTAAAATTGCATCGAATGAACATATAAAGTAATTTCGGTTAAGGTCCACCACCTTTTTGCATGCCTTCTTGACTATTCATGTCTGATGAGTTGACCCCTTGTGTCACATGCATAGCCATACTGCCATAATATAACCATAACCATGGCCATGCTACAAAGATGCTCGAACGACACCACAATGGATTTGTAAACCAAATTGGCAACTTTGGGCCTGCAAGTTAAAAAATGGAATCATACCACTACAGTTTTTTGAACAAACTATAAGCTTCAATTTCATTTTAACCCCATACTCTATTTAATTCGAATTCTGTGGGTCCAGATTTTGTTGATAAAGAAGACAAGAATCGGAATCCAAAGAAGGATGCGGGTCCGTTTTATCAGCAAGAAAGATCACAGCCATGTCACCTCAGCTCGTCCATATATTATGGTGGTCAAGATATCTACACAAATCCTCAGATTACCAATAACACCCCTGCAAACTCAACAGTGAGTCAACAAAATCACTAGTCCAGAATGTAGCATTTTACATGCCCCATTTAACACGGTTTTTGTTGAAACAGCGTAAAAAGATGTTGCATGTTTTTTTGAAGAACCTTTTGCACAGATCTGGTTAAAGAACCGTGTGAAAAGATACACATTTTCACGGTTTTTTATTACCTTTTTATACAGTTTAAAATTTTGGACCCACTTAAGAAATCATTTTCTGTACTAATGGATTTGACCACAAAAACGCTTGTAATGTATGATAAAATAATATAATGTATCAAGTAACACTTTTTTAAAAGAAAACTTAACCCCATGGGACGTCCTCAAATTCACCATTGAAATGTGGGCAAATACGTAAATCCACAAGTCACAATTTTGATGTGTTATCAATACTTGAAATGTTTGTGATTGCAGCAGTACAATGAGGGAGAAGACGACGGACATGCTTCAAGAGGGAACTGGTGGCAGGGTAACKTATATAATTACGATACAATCATAACGTAAAATTAAACGTTTTGGGCATCAATCGGCCGGGCTGATTAATTACTTATGTYATTTGTTTTCTTGATTTCAGGGTCCCTCTATTACTAGTTATTAAAACCACCTAGGTATGTGGTATGTGAAATCGACGTTCTTTGGTAAGTTCATTTTGTTGACCGTAGTAGATTCACCTTTTTGTTATTACTATTTCGTTTATTTAACTCTCAACTATAAATTCACCATTTTTAGCATCTCGAAACAATTTAGTGTCAAGTGCAGAGAAAAATCGTAAAAATGAGAAAAATTGATGTATACTTCCATACGGTATGCATATGTGTATACAAGTAATATGTATGGTATGCACATATGCATAACATATATATAGAAATCAAAAAACATTTTCAATTACTCGTATACACTAATGTCTATGCATACTGTACAAATGAATGATTATAAAAGTGTTTCTCAATTTTTTATTTTTTTGAGGGTTTTCCTTCAACCTAACTAAGTCGATATATATATATATATATATATATATATATATATATATATAAATATAAGAGAGAGAGAGAGATAGATGTGGTTTCATTTACAAACTCAACCATAAGTACAAACCAATTTCAACCGTTCATTATATTTAATAAATATTTTGTTCAATGAATATCTCGATTGTTTCATAATATAAAGTATTGATCATAATAAAATAAACTATGATGATMTTCTATAATATCCAAATTATAATAAATAAATCTTTATCAATTCTATAAATATCTCAATTAATTAAATTATATGGTTTATACTAACAACTTGATTAGCTTGTAAATAAAACCACATCTTTCTATATCATAGACAAACCTAGGGGGTGGTTAGGTGGCACTATTGTTCCTTCTTGGTAAGGTAAAAAAAATGTTCGTGAAAGGTGCAATCGTTTTATTTTAGAAGATGCAACCGTTTTATTCTAGAAGATGCAACCGTTTTATATGGTGCCAGCATATCCAAAAATTCTTGGGTCCGTCCCTCAATATATGCCCATTTCTTATGGTAAAAAGAGATATATCCATTTAGATTTCATATCAGAACTAAAAATATATCAATATTTCTTGGTTTATAACACTTTACTAAACCATCATTCTAATTTGATCTACTCTTGATACTTGCAGGACGTTTTATAGCTCGAGGAAAAAAGATAGCSCGCTCTCTCTCTATATATAATAAACTATATTAACCTCATGCATGTATGTGATCTTTTTCTTTTTGCATAGAATAATATCCTTCGTTAATTAAAGGAGACAAGTTTGTGCGACTTGAAACTTCATGTAGATTTCTAGCTTTTATTAATGTTGGATATATAATTACGTATGATAATTCCGTATGTGTATGTATATGTATATGTATATGTATATATGTGTGTATATACATATGTATGATGAAATCTTTATGTCATGTCCATGATGTACTCTATATATTCGTCCTTGGGTTCTTCCCCCCTATTTTGTTTCCATCTCGCTCCAGCCATCTTGCATACCATCATGACATGTACTTAATTCTTGTTCTTTTAGGTAGTGTTTGGTACGCAGACTGGACGAGACGGGACAAGACTAATTGTCTGTCCCATGTTTGGTACAATTAGGACAGGACAAGACAAAACTGTTAAAATGACCATATTACCCTTAAATGTAGTTCAATGTTATTTTGTATCATATAATGATTGTAAAATGACAACAAATCAACCAAAATATRTTTTAATTACATAGTTTTTATAATCAAGTTTAATACATTAAATATAAATCACACATATTCTACCCACAATCTACCAAAAGAAATCGACGCCAACAGAAATCGACCCAGAGGGGATTTTGTTAGGGTTTACCAAAAATCTACCAAATGAAATCGATACA